TCTCACAACCAGCACTACTAAGCAAACATCCCTTAGTTGATACTAGAAATATTGATACTAGTTAGGTGTTACTGCATTGTGTCAAGATTCTTAGAGACCCCTGTTGTCAACAACCTCAGCCTGTAATGCTATTTAAATATTATTTGGTTTAAGGTTTTGTGAGAAGTTTCCCCTTCATATTGATGGCAGAAATACAATCCAAAAAAAGCCTGGCAATGGTAGATACTGGGTATTCTCATACAAATTCCCCATAGAAATTGTTCTCAGTCATTAAATTTAATTAAAACAAACATTGCAGTTAAAACCTGTAATGACAGTTTCAAGCCCTCCAAGTGCAATCCTTCCTGCAGACAGCTAATCCCCGTCAATCACTTTTCTTCAGAAGAAAAACAATAGCAACTCACATACACAGACAAGGGCTGGCGATACACAGATAAACAGAATCTTGTACAGCCCCACTTTTTTCTATGACCTGATCAGTCTAAGTCAGTTTTAAAGGCAGATTGATATCTGATATTGCTTGGATTAGACCATGTAAAATGCCTGATATGTAAACAGAAATGAACAAAAGAAGTTTCCAAATAATAAAGTCTGCCTACAGTATACTGCATGTGAAATGATGTGATGATGGGGTAAATCAAAGGTGTGATCAGAACGTCCTTCTTTCTGCACTGTATCAAAGGGGTATAAAATAAAATAATCAAAATGATGTTATATTCAAGGACAAAATTAAGCTTGTTAAATTCAATTGAAATTTACAGAATGGAAATGATTGACAAAAATCTAGCGTATAGTTACTGTCCTACAACATAATGTAACTATATCCCTGGTGAGGATGCACTGGAGTGTCAGAGACCTGGCCACTAGATGCCCATTTAATATAATAGTTGGGGGATTTTTCAATACAGATTAGATGACTAACAGGCAAGATAATAATAGGATGCCTGAATGTGCAGGAATGGCTAAATTAGTAGATGAGGGCGAAATGGCTAAAGTCATATATCACAGGGGAAGGAGGCTCTTACCAGGTTGTGGAGACTGTCCCTATGACTCAAAGACTGCAGCCTAGTAGCCGTGTTTCAGTACACCAGGATGGTGGGCCTAAGGAAGTGCAGTGGGCTCAACTTGGCTGACTCCATGGGGAATACTGGTCGGGAATACATTTCCTACTGAGATTCCCTTTCAAAACCCTGCTATGGTCAATCGTGATATCAAATCCATAAAAAAAAAATATATATATGTGGCATATATGAATTGTCATCATCCATACCATCTGCGCACTCTTGTACTGTACTTACCATACTTGTCGTCCCTATTTTTTTCCACGTTTCTCCATGAGTTTTTGTCTGAGAAAACTGACATATCTCATGGCCATAAATTGTTCTTATCAAATTAGAACAACTGCATCATGAGGTGAAACTGCAACTTTGCAATAATTGTTTGTAAAAGACAATTCAGGAAATAAGATTTATTGTTATTAAAAGAGTATAATTAATTGTCAGTAAGTATCAATATTTGTTATAAAGTTTAAAAATCCAGTATGTTTGAAGAAACAAAGTAAGAGCTCTTGGTGGTAATATGGCGAAACCATTGGTATGCCGCATTGTATTCCAATGCACAGAAAGAGTTTAGCATTTACAGCGTTTTGGGTTATTTTCTGTTTTATGTGTGGTGTTGATGACATTCCGTTTTGGTTGTGGAGCCTTCTTCAGGGCTTGCAATTGATACCCGAAGAAGGCTCCACAGCCAAAACATTGTGTTTCCTTCTCTTTTCAACATGGAATAAACCTTTGCTTGTTCCTTTGCAGCCATGCTGATGCAGCTACCTACTTAAACTATTTGACGACATTGCTAATTAATAGCAATAGGCCATTACTTATGTTTGACCACAAACTAAGTAACACTGGGAGTTTTAGCATGGTGCTGACAGGTTTCTGGACATCAGTCCATCAGTCCGCTGGGGGTTGCAATGATAAAAAGGTAGATTACTCAAATGTACACATTTGTGTACAAAGATAAGGGGGTTATTCTATTTTAATAAAATTGATGTAACTGGTAGAATGCAAAAATTTGAGCTAGTATGGGTAGAACAGAGATAAAGTATGTGAATATAAAACAGGAAATATTGTGGCTTGTTTTTTATAATATAACATCAATATTACTTTATTAACCCTTTACTGTAACGAACAGTTCTTTCCGGACCCTATGCGGACGACACAGTCCGACGGAGTGGGGGAACACTGGGGAAACGTCATGCAGGAAAACGGGGCTGAAGACAGGGGGGCGTGTCCAAGGTGCGCTGGTGCATGGGGGAGGTGTGGCCGAGGCGAACAATCCAAGAGAGTAGTCCTAAGAGTATCCAAAACACATGAGTAAGTCCAAAACCAGGAGATCCATCAGAAGAAGGATTAAAAACCACGAAGGCCGGGTCGGAACCGGCGGACGGGGAACAGGAACGGGAACAGAGGTTAAAACCTTAACGGGACCAGGCGCTTCCTGGTCCCGGACTCGCACGATATGGAAATCAGCTGCAGAGCCCGGAAGAGCGTCAGCGCCCGTTTTTAAGGTGGGCTGGGAATAGGAAACAGGTGCAGAGAATAAAGTCTTGAGTGATAGGGCTGAAGCACCCTTAAGGAGGGGGAACTAATATCGTGACATTTACAATTTCTTGCATTAGGAATTATCTTTTTGCATACCCCAGCTTGCTCTCCATGAGACAAGTTTGGGGTCAGAGTGCAGGGTCTGCCACTGAACAGTACCCCTGGAGTAGTTGGGGTGAAGGACCTTGCTCAGGAGCCCAATGGAGTAGGATTCTTCTGCCAGCTGCAGGATTTGACCTGGCAACCTTCCAGCTGCAGGTGCAGATCCTTAGCCACAAAGCCACTGCTCTGCCCCAAGTTTTAGTTGAACTTTCTGGTGTGGCTGTATTGCAATTCCAACAGTCATCAGAATGTACACTCATTATGACACTTTATCTTGTCTTACTTAATGGCCTTTTGCTGTAATGTGTAATAAACACCAGCCCTAGAAGCCAAGATGAATTACAATGGATTGATTCCCGTGAACTCTAGAATTAAAGTAAGCAGGGCACTGTAATTAAAGTCTCCTACTGATATGAGATAAGCAGTCTTGATGGGGCTCAAATAGAACTCTGATTAAAAAAAGACATTAGAAATTGGGTTGAGCCAAATCAGTAATCTGAAGATAAACATTCCTTTTGGAAATAGTAAATTCAAGGTCTGCAGCCCACTAAGGGCTCAAATTCGAAGCATTTGTTAGAAAAAACAGTGCTTTCTCTACTCTGTATTTATTTTACTACACAGTTTTTTCTTTGAATTTCCTCCATTCCAATTCAGGTTAAGTATTTAACAATTTCTCTGTAAATCCAGAGAAAGTTGTGTAACCTTCATGTTAAATGTAAAAAAAAAATCTAAAAAAGTAAAAACACCCAAAAAAATGATGATCTCAAATGAATCAGAATAATCTAGAGTTTTCAAGATCTTTAAATTCTGTAATATTGTCTCAATTATTATATACATTTTTGAAAATGTTTATGTGGCAATTTTGTTAAGGGCAGAGCTAACTTTTTTATTTATCAATTTAAGCACTCTCTAAAAATATTTATAGAATATATTTTAGTCACTTCTTTAGGTTTCTCAAAGGACTGTAGGAGTATGGTGAGAGCTACCCAGCTGTGTTGTCTATTCCCTGGCTTCTTTCAAGAAGCCTGCCAACTGTTGGATGAGGTTTTCAAATTAACTAGCTACTGACAATCAAATAGGCTAGATAGGTCAAATGACCTCTTCTAATTTTTAATCAATGTTACAGGTAGAATAAGGTCACTCCATTCAAACATACAGTAATATGACAGAAGGTGTACATTATCTGCATGTTTGTGTCTACTAAATAACAATGGAAACATAAAATAAAACAATTAAACAAAAGCCTGGTAACAGAATAATTTAATGTAAATTTCTGTTTTTATTAAAATATTTAGAAGATGTTCAGTCAATCTTCAGCATTGAGTGTTCAGCATGCTCATTCTGCACTCCAGTGTGCAACTGATTATAATTTCAAGATGTTACTATTTACTGTTATGGTAACTTTATGGTACTCATACACTGGCTTTTAAATCAGTCTCTTAAAAATCTCTAATAATCAGTTGTTATAGCATTAAATGCAGTTGTAAATACATTATTAGCAGACTAAGGTCATACAGAAGAATACATTGTCAAATACACTATAACACCATTTCAGAAAACATATTAGTTGAAACAGCAATAACCATTCCATTAGGACCAAAGTATTTATAGAGACACATTTAGTACAGTATATCCATAAAAATCACGCAAATCACACACATCACAAACCTAGGTTTCAAACACAAATAAATTGTGAAATCCTGAAAATAAATGTTGCTCCTTCTATTTACATCACTTCTTCACAATTGCTTTTATTTAATATTTTTATACTGCTACCAGGGGTATTAATCAATCTTTCGTCACGAAAAGGCATTGCTGTTTTGGAAAAGGTCCTCATTATATATGTAAATAGATTAACCTTCATAATTTCTTAAACCTTGGTTCCAATCAACAAACTCAGGTTTCTTAGATTTTGTTTTCTTTGGTTAATTAAACAATCTATTGTGCTGTATTTTCCACTACCCAAACACACAAAACAATGCAATGTAAAGGCAAATATGTAAAAGAATACTGCAGACATATGAGAATTCCCAAAATACACAATATACTTAAATACTTTCTAAAATACTCTTGCTATATTATTTAACAAAACTGATTTAAGTGAAGTACTCTGAAAGACATTTGCATATGCTTATAGTGTATTTATTGTTTGTACAGGAATGGGTAAAGGTTTATTCCATGCTGAAAGGAAAAGAAAAGAGATACAACATTTTGGTTATGAAGCTTTCTTCAGGTGTGATACATTATGAAACGTTGTGTCTCTTTTCTTTTCCTTTCAGCATGGAATAAAACTTTATCTGTTCCTTTGCAGCTTATACTGTACATGCTGATGCAGCTCCCTACTTGAACTTTATGTACAGTATAATATGTGTGTATAAAGCAAATATTATCTAGGAAAATGTGAGTCTTCTTTTTATTTATAAAGTTTGCAAACATTACTCAAAATTGTGTAATTAGGATATGTAGAAGCACTTGAGAAGAGATAGCAAATCAGATTTAATACCGTTATTTAAGAACCCGTATAAAACCGGATTTAAGCAACATGACAGCATTCCCAGCAAATGACAGATACAATATATCAATTTAAAGTGTCGACTGGAGATGTGGTTTGCGCTGAAGTCTGTAACAAGATGGAAAATATGTAGCGGCATCCAGCTGATAGCAAATGCTAGAACCACAATGGTCAGCTTGAAGAAAACGCTTTTGGATCTCTTTTTCATTCTAGAGATTGATTTTGAGATAGTGAGCATTTTATGTAGCTCTGTAGCTTCCTCTTCTTTTAGCTCGAAACACACTGGTACACCGGATAAGAGCAAAGTTGAAGGGTGGTGTTGGCTTTGAGGATGCAAGTACTCAGCAGAATCATTTTCATGGCTATACATGGCTGGAACCACACTGGATGTCTTTTTGTTATACCGTTTTCGCTGTTTTTGTGCAAGTACTAATTTCCACTTTTCTGAGTCTGTGAACTGGGTGGGAATGCAGCTCTTCTGGTTGGGTTGCTGTAAAGTCAGATTTATCATTTCCTTTTCTTCTGTCTGCACCTGCAGGTGGCTTGGAACACTGGAACTGACTCTTCTGCATACACTGGCATGACTAACTGTGAGACACACTAGTGGCAAAATATACTGTACAAAAAGCAGGCTTATCGTAAATGCTGTTCTGTACCCACCTGAAGGCCATGACTCAATGCACAGTGACTTGTTTTTTAGTGATTCTAAGTGAAATGTTTCACTCAGGTCTACTGTCTTGTGGAACACTGGCAAGGGGGAGCAGATGGAAAGAGCAAGTGTCCAAATTATTCCAAGAAGGATATATCCAGCATTCAGAGATAAATGTCTGGACAATGGATGGCTTATCATGTGATATCGAACTATAGCAATTGACATCAGTACTAAGGTTGAAACCATAACAGAAACACATTGTAAGAATGGAACAATGTGGCACATGACATCTCCAAAAACCCAGTGATCCAGCAGTACACAAGTCAATGTAAATGGCGCACAAAACAAAACAACCAAAATGTCTGAAAATGCAAGGTTTCCAACAAGAAAGTTTATGATTGTCTTCTCTTTCCATTTTCTAGTCAAGGCAGTTAATATAAGAATATTTCCCAGGAGACCCAAGATACTTATAAATGTGTACAGCCCTATCAAGAAGTATCGAACATCATCTACACTGCTATTGAAATCTTCCCATAATGGGAAATCTGAATTAAAGAAAGCTGAGGTATTATCTTTGGATACTTCACTTCCATTGGGATATTCCAGATCCATTCTGGATGCTCTCTTAGATATCTGTCAACAAGAAATTAAAACCAATAAGTCATATAAGAGATGAATGAGAATCACATGGCATAACATTTGAAAAATCACAATGAATTTGAAGAGTGTATACTGCTTATATTCATATCACAATGTAACAAAATGTGATCCAAAGTAAGATGACACATTAAGTAAGCCTTAATTGTCTTTTACATTGTTATATTGTTGTTTTATATTGTGCACTTTCTTTTAGTTTGTAGTTCACAGACTTTACTTCAAGAGGCTAACTAACTAAATTTAGAGGCTAAATAACTAAGCTTATCATTATTGTGTTCTGTAGTGGAAAAATGTAATATATTCCATTGCAATAATCCAACCATAATCAGAAGGCTCGATGTCCTACTGAGGATCATGGAAACATAGGGTGTCCCAGAAGCATAGGGTGCAAGGCAGGACTGAGAATACATGAGTGCTCTCACCCTGGATGGGAAGCCAGCCATTCAAGCGTAACAGGTAAATTTAAAAAAATAAATAAATACTTGCTTACACTTATATAGCGCTTTTCTGGATACACCACTCAAAGCGCTTTACAGGTAATGGGGACTTCCCTCCACCACCACCAATGTGCAGCCCCACCTGGATGATGCGACGGCAGCCATAGTGCACCAGAACGCTCACCACACATCAGCTATCAGTGGGGAGGAGAGCAGAGTAATGAAGCCAATTCATAGATGGGGGTTATTAGGAGGCCATGATTGGTAAGGGCCAATGGGAAATTTGGCCAGGACACCGGGTTACACCCCTACTCTTTTCGAGAAACGCCCCGGGATTTTTAATGGCCACAGAAAGTCAGGACCTCGGTTTCATGTCACATCCGATCAGTTTCAGTATAGTATCCCCGTCACTATACTGGGGCATTAGGACCCACATGGACCGGAGGGTGAGCGCCCCTGCTGGCACTACTAACACGTCTTCCAGCAACAACCTTAGTCTTTCCCAGGTACTGACCAGGCTCACACCTGCTTAGCTTCAATGGGTTGCCAGTTGTGATTTTCAGAGTGATATGGCTGCTGGCCATAAAAAAGCCAATCAAATCTAAATAACATCTCTTTGGAGATGGAAGGAAGCCAAGAGAAATAACATGTAGATGCAGGGAGCACCTGGAAACTCCATACAGAACTCTCCCCAGCATAGAACCGGACCAAGTCCTCATAAACTGTGAAGCTGTAGTAGTAGATGCCATTTATGAAGAATCATTATTACAAAGCTAAAGTGGTTGATAGATACAGCATTTATATGTTATTCAATTTAATCTCACTACAGGGTGTTAAAACCACTGTTTGCTCAATTCATCCACCCCATTAATGAGTTTGTTCTTTATCTTTTGTAGAATTTCTTTAATGAGCAATAAATCACTTGGCATATTGTGTAGTCTTGTGGAAACTCCTTGTTTTATCACTTCCTGGCTTGTTCTTTTTAAGATATTTTGGTGTACACTCATCCTCTTTGTGTAAACCTTGTTTAATATGACTGAACTAGCTTTGTTTTTGATTCAACTTTTACTATTTTTAACATCTTTATATATAACATAAATATTCTCAATTTAGCTACAGTATATCTCATTTCTCCTTAATGCTATCATTGCAATTATTAAAATCACATACATGTACAAAATCACCAGTAATTCCTCTCAAATCCCATATTTCCAAATCCTAAGAAGATGTAATTTTCTATTCAATCTCTAGTTCATTTTTATGTGCTATGGCTATGCTTGCCTCCTTAGGGTCCTGTCTGATGGTGTTCTGGCAAAGGGACCTCTTTTTGTACAGAAAATATCTACTGCAGAGCTACAGTAAGTATTCATTCACTCAATACATAAAATCTCATAGTATAATAATACAATAGTCTATGGAATACAAAAACAAAAATAATTCCAAAAGGAGCTCACAACTAACATAAGGCATGCATTCTTAGATATACTAAACTCTATAGTATGAATTTGTTGTTGCATTGATTTCGTTGTTGTTCTACCCTAAGAAGTTGTATTTTGTATTTGTCAAAGAACTCTAAACATGCCCTACAGTTGTCACTTACTCAGTTTATATATTATACTGATTTCACCTTCTGTATATACAATCCTAAATTGCCAAATTACATCATTAAAATAAACCTTATAAAAAAATCCAAAACTGACTCTATTTATCAGAGAATTCCCATTCCCAAATTTTCTTGGAGTGCAATGTTCTACCTACTGATTATAACACTTTCTGTGCACATCACACCTTAATATGCATAGTGATAGAGGAATACGACCATCATAAAATGATTAACATAAAATGAATATTGTATACTGTTAATGTTTTCACAAACAGCCTTTGTTAGAATAAGGAGGATTTTTCTTATTAACTCACTATGCTGTAAATCGTGGAAATGCAAACCAATGTCGTGGCACAGAACAAATTAAACATTTTGTAAAAGGAAAACATGCGATTTCAATACACATTAATTGATTAATAAATAAGTTGTTCTAATAATATGAAACCGTCTGTTCTATAAAATCAAGCTATTCGCATAACGGCGCGTAAATCTGTTTTGTATAATAATAACCTGTAGTTTTAAAATGGTATAAAATGAGATACATTTCACTACGGAAACACACGAATTAAGGAGAACGCTACCTTCATGCACCCTTTGAACGTCTTCCGATCACTGCTTCATGTTGTTTTCACTCAGGCTGTCTAGTCCACAGTGAAAATATAAGGGCTTCTGGTTTTAATGTTTCTTTAACACGTGATGCTCACCACTGCTCTCAGTAGTCCGAAGTTTAGTATTTGTGAAATAATACAGGTTAGTCAGCTGAACTATTTCCCATATTTGCATTTGGCTGTATTCACACTTTTATTTTTATCATCGCCCTTCTGTTCTTTTAGTCATTTAATCGGCAGTTTGAGGCTATCTTCATGGTCAATTAAGTGGCTCTGTCTAGTTAGAGTGTGTTTAAATCGTTATTTTTAAAGTAAAATAAGGATAATGATAAAACCTTAGAATAATAATCATCTTAATATCAACCGACATCAAAATAAGAACTTTTTTTCTAACTTTCGAATCTTCATTTTCAAAATAAATTGTTATATATATGGGTTGTAACCATGCCCAGCATGATATTGTACAGTCTGTGTCATCAGTGCGCAAGACTTCATGCATTACGTCCTAGGTTTATGCTCACAGCCTTTTTCCCTCTGGGGAAGTAATTTCCCATCCCTATAGTCTGTATGGAAACGCCTCCCCTTATGTTACCCTCATACACTAGATTTCTGTTCTGGGTTTTGCGGGTTGCTTTTGCTGCGTAACTTTCGTTTTTCTTATGTGAGCTTTCTAGGTCACGTTACAACTCACATTTGGAAAATATCTAGTGATCACCGTTAGTTAGTACTGTATATTTTGTTAATATATGTTAACAAAAGTTTCAAAACCGCTACTAGACGAAATACAAGTATAATATAAAACAAGTGTGTATTATATCCTACGAGCAAGGTGTTGTGAACAGTTGCATTTTCTTAACTGTACTGTAGTTGAATGATCCTGTTATCGTTCGAGATTAATCAACGGCAGAGTTTGGAAGTTTTACCTGTTTAAAATCCTCCTTATGAGCGTGCTTTGTGTTGTAAAAGCATTTCGAGAATCGACATTAAGCTTAAAACGAGTTTTATTTCAGCTAAAGCTTCTCTCTGTAGAAATACAGCACTTTGTATATGATGTGCTAAAGTAAAGAAAGCAAACAATTCATATTCTGCAAAATCTCCATAAAATATTTGTTTTGAGGTCCATCTTAAAGCTGTACGCATTACTGGTAAAACAGTTCCAGCTTTTCCTCCTATTTGCGATGCGGTGATCTCTCTCACCATTTTTGATATGTACTTCACAGTTTATCAGCAGTAATTTACCGTTTATAAAGCTGCATTTGTAGTGCTAACATTCTGAGAACTGAAAAGATAATTAAACATCGACCTTGTAACGGTATAAAGATAAATATCATAAAATAGTTTTATTTAACTCAACCCCACCGCCTCAGCCCTGCCTAATATTGACACGCCATTCCCGCGGTTCCAGCTTTGTGTTAGAGCTCTGTGGAAACGGTTTTCAGCACCCAGGACAGTACCAACATTAATTCCTTTACATTACTGTCTCTCTGTTACAGCAGAGTAAATTTCATGCATGGTCTTTTTGACTTGTTTGTAGTTAAATAATAAACCCCGAGGCAACAAACAAATACCCCTTTCTTTGCTTGCATCCTTTGATTTCCTGTGAATTCGCCGTTTTTATCCAAGCTTAATGAATGCTAATCTTCCCTTTTGTAAATTGAAACGCGCGTACCATTTCAGTATAGCTCAAATTTAATATGTCAGCTATTGGATTTTGGGTTCACTGTGTAAAACCCAAATGATAACACAGTGGACTGCCATTCAGATGATACTGAGGTTTTTGCGTATACTGTACTCAAACATCTTTCCATAAAGTACATTTACAGCTTGAATGTTCAAGACAAGTTGCACAACGGAGATTACACTGTTCTTTCTTTAAAGTACAATATATCTTTTTATGGTCCCATCCATCCACTTTCTACCTGCTTTTTCGGTAATTAGGAACATATTTCCAGTCTTTTTCACGGATACCAACGCATGCGATTTTTTTTGACAATTTTAAATAAAGCCTCGTTATACTTTGTACATTGTTAGTGCATACGCGGTAGATGGCGCTAACTTCTAAGTAAACACGTGTGCGTCTCGTTTAAAATTACTTGAAGGTTCGGTAATCAGGAGGCGAAATAGTGTTTAAAGTGTATCCAAGAAATATATGGGATAGAATGAAATAGAAAAAAAATGCCAAGCCGCCACGTTATAGCTCTGTGCGCATTGTTTGTGTATATGTTTTTAGACGTGTTTCAACAACTTGGTGAATATTATAAACATGTGATGGTGTTTGAGGTGGAGCTGGGCAGCGAGAGCACCTCCTCCTTCCTTCTTTAAACTGTTGGGGAAATACTACCATCTCCGACGCCAATTTATTTCTGTACTGTAGTTATTGGATGAAGTAGAAGCAAGCATGTGCAAAACTATCTGCTGTGTAGGTAGGTATTCATTGATTTTTTTTGTTCACTTTCTGCAGTATGTTTCTTTTGTAGTTCATTTCTTCACGTTGATGGATGCCTAAGTGTAGTGACATTTTTAAAGAATATTTTAAAAAGACTAATTTCTCCTACAATTTAAAGTTAGCTGTCATCTTTTTTAGCATGTGCTATAATACAAGAGAGATATTCAGATGTTAGGAAGGTTTAATGTGGAGTGATAAAGTAGTTGAAAGTGTGTTCTCAAGCTGCTGCTGGCAATTCTGTATTTCCACCGCTAATTCAGGAGTTTTAATATCAAATCACGTCGGTGGTGTGGACTATTGTTTCTCATTATTGCATTTTAATTCAAAGTGTAAAACCTCTACTCAACTAAACGTATAAAACGTAAAGTTTTAAAGGTAAAGGAAGTAATGTTTAGGTGAAAGTATAGCTTTACACATGCTGTACTGTACCTTGACCCCAAAGAATGTCATGTAGGGAAAAGACTCACCTTGGAATTTTTACAACCCGCTTTCACTACTTTTACTATCTTACCTGCAATTATTTGATTAATGTTTAGAGTAATGTCGCTATAAAAGTCCTGTGCAAAAAGGAAATGCAAAAAAGTATACAGCCAAAGACAAACATACTTTAACTTTACAGTTTATTTAAAACTTAGATTAATAATTGTGCATGGCTATTTTCAGTCCCTTTAAGAATATACAGCAATACACGTGACACAGTATTAGTATTATTATTAGTTATTAATTAATGTTACTAGTAGTTTTATTCTACTTTTCTATCTGTTCTACTACTAGTAACCTGATTGTTTTTTACATGGAAACGGACAACTATCAGTAAATTAAGTTGTTGTTTACTTTGGATGTACGGAGTAATATAAATATTACAGAATGGCTTAATAAGATAATTACATAACCCTGTAAAGTGTTTTGCTAATGATATGAATGACATGCATCTTTTCATTTCAATTGGATTTTTCACACAATAACCATCTTTAGCACTAGTCTTGATGTAATCCCCTAGTACTCATTCTTAAGACGTGTTTTAATATGTTGATTTTACTTTGTACTAGCGGTAAGTCGTAAATCGAGTCGTGTAATTTGTTTTATTGTTTAATTTACTCCGGTATCTTAATTTAAATCATTTTTTTGTTCTGATGCCTAGACTTCACACTAGTATGAAAAGTTAATCACATTTCAAGTTACTTCTTTTTCACTAATTAGATATTATTTATTTCAATAAGTGTTTATGATGGCAAACTCAAAGATACAAGTAGTTCCTCAGTGATATTGAAAGTCTTTATTTGAAAATTGATTTGAAAATGAATATACAGTAACCATGTTTAAAAGCAACAAGTAAACTGGACTCAGACAATTGAGTTTAAAAAAAAATTAAGGCAAGGATAGTCTGAATAAAATTTGGAGCTCTTGAAGCAAATTGATGATAATTCCCTTTTAAACAAATATATAGATTGACTAAAAATATGTAACTGACTATGTTGTTGCTTACAGAATGAAAGAATGGCACTTACAGTAGCTTCACTTAAATGTTCAATTTTGTTGTATAAAGTGTTTACTGTATAGTTTATCTTTGACCCATGGCTTTCAGTTGGTTTGAATATACTCCTCTGAGTTCAAAGCTGCCATTTACTGTTTAGACAGTGAAGATCATTTAAATTATTTTGGCAGTGTTTCCTAAATTAAAGATACGTGCCAAACATGTTTACTGTTTAGATAGGAGTCGAAATTAGACATTGCAAGTATTCTATTGCATAAGTATGTACATTACATACATATGGGAAGAATGATATGATTTTGACTACAATTAATTTTAGATAATTTGTGTTACAATATAAATTAGTTATATTGTGAGAGCTGGACTCTTTCCTAAAACAGGATTTCCAAACAATTAGCACCTGGAGCCTGGAGAACTGCAGAACTGAGAAATGAAGCAATGAATGAGTGCATAAGAATATTACAGATGGGATGGGGCGGATATGGAGTCAGTAGAGAATGGGTGGAAACAGATTAAAGATATTCCACTGGATGTAAAATACAGATATATCCCAAACGTAAGTTTGAAAGCATTGGCCCAAGTGGTTTTAAATATCAAGGAACAAAAATATAATATATTAAAAAAGAGCAAGATCTGGTTAAACACAAAGGAATATAATAAATTGCAAGCACAGGTAAAAAACAAATTGAAATTAGAAATACAAAGAAAGATGTAGCATTAACAGCTAAAAGAAATAATAAATGTTTTTTTTCTAGGTTACAACAGGTGTTCACTAATGAAAAATTCAACAACATGCCTCAATCTGACAAGGACAAAATCATGTATTAAATGTTAATAATAAAATAAAACTGGCAAAAGCATTAGATACTAGACTGCAGATTATCAAATCTCCAGGGCCTGATGATATTCTACAAATGATATATAATTATCATATATATTACTATATATAAGGAACAAGAGATGCCATTCATAGACCATTAACACCATTAACATTTCTAATCTTGTGCTTATTCATTAAATGGGTGAACTGGGTATTTGTAAACCAGTGTGGCTTATTCTAATACGTATAGGGTTAAGGAAACAGTAATTAAGAATTAATTAGGGGATTAGCTATATGAAGATAAGATCCAGTGGAGCAGACAACATGATTTTAGAAAACATAGGTCCTACATAACTGACTTCTTAGAGTTTATCAGCAAATAGCAGCATTAATGGACTTATACAGTGCACACAATATGGTCTACTTAGATTTTTCAGAAAGTATTCCATAATGTTGCTTATGGAAAACAGAGAGTACAGAAAAGGAGTGAGTGAACTACTGGGGTGAAGTAATTAGTGGAGTACAACAGGGATCCATATTTAGAACACTGCTTGTCTTAAATTAATTCAATGACCTAAGTTATTTTAGAGTTAGTAAATTTGTGAAGTGTAAAGACATTGCCTTTACCATTGCCATTGCCAGAAACGGAAAGTCAGTTTATTACATAAAATTCAAAACATGGCAAATACCTGGTAGATGAAAAAGTAATGAAGAATATTACATTCAAATTCAGAAAAGATAAACAATAGATATAAAATGGAAAACATTGAATTTGAAGAAGCTGCTTATGAAAAGGACTTAAGTCTTTATGTTGGCATATAAATTACGTCTTCTAGACAAAGTGGGTAGCCATACAAACAGTAAACTGAAAACAGTAGACATGGGTTGTATGGGACGGTCTGATAAAAAAGACCCAGCTACTGTATTTTGTTGATGCTAGTGCCCTTACTTTTTTTGATATCTTGTGATATCTTTAGATGAATTAGCTATTACCAAACGTTTTCTTCTAATTTTATCCTTTCTTTTATTCTTATGTTTCTTATGAGAATCTGTTGTATTTTACAAGCTTGTAGATGTTTAAACTGGATAAACACAAGCTGTACACCTGTGATACATGCTTTGCACCAGGTTGCAGATGCTTTTTTGTGGGAGCCTATCCTGTTCTATTCATAGAGAGCTCAGACAAGCATGTGTCTATGAGTGGGCGCTAGACACTGCATGTCATCCCAGATCATTCTGGGGATCACATGTGATGATTAGTGCATCCACAGCACAACTGTCACATTCTCATCTTACAAGAGTACCATCATTACTTGAGCATACTGTCGTGCTAGTACTGTATGTTGGTACTTCAGGATGGGTCCACTGAAATAAAGCAAATAAAGTCCCAGAATTTGTTTAAAATATTTCTGTGCAGCAAAGTTGCCTTTGGCAAAACTACCGGTCCTCTATGGTGACTGGGCATTCCTGTCCAGAACACCAATGGAGAAAATTACTGGCACATCTTCAACAGAAACTTGCTTTAGATCTAAAACCGAGAGATCATTTCACCGTTCATCAGGATACTGATCCAAACCACAGGGCCAAAACCTCACTGGAGTGGCTTAAGAATAAGAAGGTGAATGTCCTTGAGTGGCTCAGTCAAAGTCTTAACTTGAATCCTACAGTATTGAGAATCTTTGGAAAGATCTGAAAGCTGCTGTCCATAAATGCTTCTGAAGCAGCTTGAGAGAGCTTGAGCAAATCTGCCAAATAAAAGGGCACAATTTACACCAAACCAGTGTGCAACATTGGTAGAGACTTATACAAATCTTAGACACAGGTTTGTTGCTGTAATTCCTGCCAAAGGTGCATTTTTACTGACATTTACTGCAATTCATCTTGCCCTTAGAAGACTTCAATTTGAGCCTTCAGGTTGTGGACAAAATATTAAATTAAAAACAATATGTTTAGATATATTTGTAATTGGTGGAACATTATAGGATGGATCAAAGTAAACATATTATGGGGTATTGCAAAGTCAAAGTAAACAGAAAAATAAAAATGATAAGAAAAGCTCTTATACAAGAGTATTTGTAGTTTTAGTGTAAAATATAAAATTATATAAAATTAAATTATATAAATTATAATTATATAAATATTAAATATATAAAAATATAAAATTGAATATTTGAAATACCATAATATTATTACCATGACTTATATTCAAAGATATATATTTTGTCATTGAGGAACTCTACTTATAAATTTTCTTTTATTGGGTAGGGACTTAATGTTACCTCATTACTTCACTGGAAAATCCTCCATCTGAATAAAATTCCATTCAGTGTTAAAAATGAACTAAAACACTATGTAGAATGACAATATAATTAATTATTGTGTATGTTACTTGTAATCAAAGCTATTGTGTTTATTATTGGTATGAAATAATTTGTGAATATTAAAGAAATTTTCACAAAGCTTCTTCATACCCATGTTTTAAAGGATCTTATACTGTATGGGTCAGATATGCTTTTTTATACTGTACATTGTTTGGGGGTTGCAACACTAGAAACTATATGGTTCATGTCCTGTGAAATAGCAGTGATTCCCAAATGCCCTGCTTTTTCAGGAGTGCTTTGATATGTCTTTACGTAAACAAATCAAAATAAAATACAGAAAGCAT